GTAGATGGATTACATAAATTGATGGAGCGATGAACAGAAAGGACACAAGAGTAATGACTGGGATGCGATGTGCAATGATATGATGGATGGATGGAATGGATGGATGGATGGAATGAATGGATTGGAGTCAATTACATGACTAATATAGTTTAATGAATAACATGGATGGATCATTCATTAAGTATATGGATGATTTGAATTAATTAAAAAATCGAGAATAGAGAGCTTGACATAAGATGGATGGATGAATGGATGGATGGAGGATCGATGTATGATATGGATGGATTGGGATGGGACAGACACACAAGAAGGGAAGATAAGGATGCTCTACCAAAAAACATTGGCGGCTAAAACAACCAGGAGGTCATAAAAAATACATTAACTACCTTCACATGCCGTCATGGCTCCATTGTCCCTGATATGGAGTGAAACAACCGAAAAACATGTTACATCATATTGAAGCACTTTATGTTTTCTTAGGTCTGTCCTGCAACAGTGTCCTGGAAGGCAGACAGATTTGCCACAACGACCGCCAAATCGACCTCACATAGTCACCGCAACATACACCCGCTGTCTGATGCTCTCTTGAACTGCAACTGATTGCAGTAAACTCACCAACCCAGCAAGATACAGCTTACTTTTAATTACATTCAAGAAACTGACTAAACAGGAATTAGAAGCTGTTCAACATTAGGGATATGCCGATTAGCCATGTATGAAAAAAGGTGCGGTTCATTCCCTCCCTCAGTATCGAAGTCAACAGCGGGTTGAGTGAAAACAGGCTCCTAGAGTTCCGAAAGAGTCCGGTGTCGGGCCCACCACCTTGCCAGCCATGGAACAAATCTACTGACAAAAAGTTGCCATACTACCAAGGGGGCCTCTAATTAAGGCACCTTAAACATTTACATAGAGGTCTAGTAACCACGGCGGGAGAAAGAAGAATTGTTAACTTTAGACTGCCTATGATCCAGAAGTAATTACACAAAAATATAGCGTCATGGGAAATAATTTGGTCTTGGATTAATTTTTGTTGTACCTTGTCTCATTCTTAATTGAAGTTCGATGACAGCTAAATATAAAAGATAGAGAGGTTTTTAAGTTTCTTTAGGTGGAGGCTGGAGTCAGTGGAGGAATATCGGCTTCAGGAGGATTTTCTTTACCTAAACTGACATTTCTCCAGCATGAAAAATATAAACTTGTCTTGCCTGCTGCTGAATGTTTGTTGAATATTTGTGTTGATTTGTATTTGTATGTTGTTGTTTTCTCTTCCACTGCATGGGCTACTAAAGAGAATCACCAGACCTTCCTTTATCACAGAGAGACGAGAAATCTTATAATTACGTTTCACATTCACTATGTTTGTCAAAACAAATGTTGTTGTTGTATCAATCCATGTCTACTTACATCAGTGGCTCCATGATTTATCATTTCCTTTCAAAGAGCTGACATTAATTGAGTGGAGTTTACCGAGTGACTGCAAATTTGATTGACTTCATTTCCTCCTAATTTGATTAGTAAAGTCTTCAGCTAAGTCAAAGTCGTATTTTGGGATATTTTGTGCTGATGTAGAAACATTGACCACGAGTCTTTTTCTGAGCTTTGATGCATGTTTGCAAAACTAATAAAGTGATGTTCTCTTCAAAGAAAATAAAAGATGATCAGTGTTTATAGAAACCTTTATAAACTTCTACTCCACTACAATTATGAGTGGAAATACTTTACTATTTACTGCACTACAATGACCTGACAGCTGTACTCCTTTTTCACATTAGACAACCCAGCCGACTCCTGGTTTTTTCCTGTGCTAAAACACAGCCAGCTCCACATGTACCTTCCCTTGTTCCCTCCCCTTCCAGATCTACAGTTTTTTATGATGGGTGGTAACCACAAGTGTTGAAGTGCAAAAGCTGACAGGCCCGTTCACTGCAGAGACACATTTAGTTCAGATCAGAGCTCAAACTAGTTTTCGGTTCTCAGGAAGTGAAACTCAGACAGTCGTTGACACTGAGAGGTTAAATGGCGCAGAAGAGTTCAGCTGGACCGGGGAGAGCTTCTACTTTTTATTCGATCTGTCTGGATCTATATGAAGATCCGGTGACTATTTCCTGTGGACATCAGCTACTGCATCAACTGTATTAAAAGCTTCTGGGATGAAGAGGATGAGAAAGAAAATCTACAGCTGTCCTCAGTGTAGGCAGACCTTCACACCAAGACCTGTCCGTGTGTGAAAAAACACCAGTGTTAGCGGTTTTAGTGGAGGAGCTGAAGAAGACTCGGACTCCACAATGCTTTGCTCCTTGATCACTGCTTATGCTGGAGCCTGAAGATGTGGCCTTGATGATTTCTGTTCACTGGAGAAACTGAAAGCTGTAAATTCCTTTGTCTGGTTTGTCTGGTCTCTCTACTGTGAAGCAAACAGGCCTGCAGCCCAATCATTATAATTCACCTTACATTTAAAAAACACAAGCTGGTGGAGCCTCCAACAAGCTCCAGGAGAACATCTGCTCTGTCATGATGAAGGTGATGAAGAATGTTCTGCCGCACTTGATCAGCAGTGTACTCGTTATCTTCTGCCCCTGGGATGAACCATAAAGAGGCCACGACACAGTCTCAGCTGCAGCAGAAAGGAACTGAGAGGCAGAGAGAGCTCCAGCTGAGAGCGACAACAAAATCCAGCAGAGAATCCAGGACAGAGACAAAGATTTGAAGTGCTTCACAGGAGGTGGAGGCTACAAATGGCTCTGCTGAGTAAAAGCAGTGGAGGGGACATTGAGAAGATCTTCACTGAGCTGATCCGTCTCATGGAGAAAAGAAGCTCTGATGTTGAAGCAGCAGATCAGATCCCAGCAGCAAAACTGAAGTGAGTTCGAGTCCAAAGAGCTTCAGGAGAAGCTGGAGCAGGAGATCACTGAGCTGAAGAGGAAAGACGCTGAGCTGAAGCAGCTCTCACACAGAGGATCACACCCAGTTTCTACACAACTACCCCTCACTGTCACGACTCAGTGAATCTACAGACTCATCCAGCATCAATATCCGTCCTCTGAGCTACTTTGAGACGTGACAGCAGCTGTGTTCACAGCTCAGAAGAGAAACTACGGACAGTTCTGAGAACACATGGACAAACATCTCACTGACACTGACTGAAGTGGATGTTTCACTGTCACAACCAGAGCCCAGAGACCAGAGCTGACTTCTTACAAATATTACACAGGAAATCACACTGGATCCAAACACAGCAAATAGCAAATACATATCTGTTATTATCTGAGGGAAACAGAAAAAAAAGATTAATGAGAAAAAAAAAATTGCATTCACTCAGACAGATTCACTACACAAATGCAAATCCTGAGTAGAGAGAGTCTGACTGGATGTCGTTACTGGGAGGTGGAGTGGAGAGGAGGAGGACATAATTTAGCAGTTGCACACAAGAATATCAGCAGAGCAGGGAGCTCAAATGAATGTTGATTTGGAAATAATGACAAATCTTGGGCATTAAGTTGTAACCAAAATAGTTATACATTTTTGTACAACAACATCAGCACTCCAGTCTCAGGTCCTCGGTCCTCCAGAGTAGGAGTGTACCTGGATCAGAGAGCAGGTGTTCTGTCCTTCTACAGCGTCTCTGAAACCATGATTCTCCTCCACAGAGTCCAGACCACATTCACTCAGCCTCTCTATGCTGGAGTTTGGCTTCCATGGAATAATGAAGACACAGCTGAGTTGTATAAACTCAAATAGGCAATGGTCATTTAGCCTTTCAGCTTTCTTCACTAAAACAGGTTTGTCATAGAGGAATGAGCAGAGTTTTCTTTCACTTGTTGTTTCAAAATGGGAAAGTTTTAGAGTGAAGGAGTTTAGTTGACTCCTGTGTGGTTGTAGACTTGAGGTGGTTTCATGTGTTTTGATGTTGATGTTGTGTTGTTTACATGAAGATGAAACTTCAGAATGATGCTGTCATGTTGGTTCAGCATTTAGCTCTGTCTTTTTGCAGTTTTATTCCAGAGCTCATTAAAACTTGTTGTGACTCCTTTTGTCCGAGTTTTAATCTCTCAACCCAAAAAACAACCTTTTCTGTCATTAAGGCTGAACTGACGCCCAAGAAAAGCATCCAAAACAGTTTTAAGGCAGAGAGTACATCATGTTTTATTATGTTTGTAAATATATGAAAAGGTACATTCACTGAAATCAGAAATATTGACAGGACAAATGATTAAAGTGATGAATGACTCTTTCATTGCACATATGGTCAACTATGAGACAAACCCTTTGAAAGCTTGTTGTTATGAAAATCTATTGACTGATGTTTTCACTGTAGTACAGAGATTTTATGGTTCCCCTGTGGTTTAGGAAATGTATCTAAAAAGTTTTAGAGCCTACAGTTTATCATCAAAAGTACATCTTCATCATAAGAACGAGCTTGTTTGTTTTTGGAGAAGCACATTTCTTACACTTGCCACTGATGGTACATTTATTTGACAAAATAAATTAAATACTTAATGTTTTTATTTTGAAATAAAAAATAATAATTGCAAACAGATTTAATGCCAATTAGTGACAAAGACACTAGAAGACATCTGAAATGTCTTTGCTGCTGCACAAAATCTTGCTTTTTAGTATTGCATTTGTGTGTATGTTTGTGCATGTGTGAACTGTAACAAATTGTTGCAAATTCTCATTTTGTAGCCAGTGTTGCAGCCTACATTAAGGGTTGCTTTACCCACATTACACCCACATTTCTCATTTACTACCACCTGTGATTTTTTACCAGGGATACAGTTTGGGTTTTATTATTGTCTTCAACCAATAAACTGGAGGTTAAATCAACAGTAACATCTATTTATTTCCAGAATATGAGTCTCTGTTACGCTGAATCATCCACAGAACACAGTACATAAAACTGGTAAACTCACTCTGGTGTACTAGGTGGCGGTAATGCACCTAAAACGCTGCTCAACAACCGCCTGGAAGCGTCATGAAGAAGACGTTCAGCGTGAATTTACCCTCGTGTGGTAGTTCTGGTACGGCTGTGAGGCAGGGGCTCACTTACTGAAAAAGAGGTTAAAAACACGTTTTTTGGGGGAGTCACCTCATTTAAAAAGTAAGTAAATGTCTCCTGTTGTGGCCTCCCTTTGTCGCTATTATAGTTGTCATGAGTGTGTGTTTTTTTAGCTGTTATTAGCAAATGTTTACACTAAAATGCTTGAAGTTTGGCTAGCTAGGTGCTAGCCGACTTTCCTCAGTATGGTTTGAATCGGACCGACGGAGCGCCACAATTTAGCAGCGCATGTTTAGTTAATTAAAAATGAATTCGGTTACATTTGGCATCCTTAGGTATCACTTTCGACCTGCTTCATAACTCTGACTTTATTTGACAGCTGGCTAAAGTATTATGTGGCTAGGTAGGCTATGCTAACCCACCTTACACAAGTTTAACGTCCATTAAATTGATGTTATGAAACAGTCACCAGACAATCTGACATAGTAGTTGAAGAATAATGTCTCACCTGCGTAGCTCAGGTATTTCAGGTTAGCAATGGTTCTGTAGTTATTGCGCTTTGTTCCATTTCTTTAATTTTAAACAACAACACACATTTAGTGTTTAGTTTATTTCAGGTACAGCTACCTAGAATAATCTAGGAAAATGTGACCTATGACAAACAGTCGAACTACTCTCACAATAGTTAATGAATAACAATCATTTCAGTTACATTTTTTAACAAATGGTATTATACCATATACATGTACATATGAAATATATACAAATACGCATTAATTTCAATAATATGTGATCTTTTTCTGTTTGACTGCACATTGTCTTCTTCCACCAGACTACATAATTCTAAAAACTTTACTAAAATACTGATGTACCCATAATTAATATACCTAATTTACCAGATGCCTGCAACAACTGATCAAAGGCCATGTTATGTTTTGCCAGTGGTTTTGTTGGCAGGGTAAATAGAGCTGAAATTATTAGCAGATTAATCAGTTATCAAATTGGTAGATAATTACCAGCCACCTGCTTTTGATAATTAATTGTGTCAGTCATATTCAAAGCAAAAATACTGATAATTCTCTGCTTCCGGCCTCTCAAATGTGATGATTTTTCTGCTGCTATTGTCATTTATGACAGGGAGTTGTATTTATTTCTTAACTTTTCTCCCTTATTTTCAGGTTGTCATGTCCTCCTACACTTGCATCAGCTGCCGAGTGGCTTTTGCAGATGGTGATGTGCAGCGAGCGCACTATAAAACCGACTGGCACCGCTACAACCTGAAGCGCAAGGTGGCTGACATGCCACCTGTCACTGCTGAAAACTTCCAGGAGCGCGTCCTTGCACAGAGGGCAGCTGCCGAACAGCATCTGAATGACGCAACGGTCACAGAGGGCTGTGCCGTCTGCAACAAGAAGTTCTCCAGTGCCAATGCCTTCCAGAACCACCTGCAGTCCCACAAACACCAGCAGGCCGAGAAGCAGGCCCTGCTGGCCGCCCAGAGGAAAGTGGAGAAGATGAACGAGAAGAACCGGGAAAAAGGACTCGGTGATGAGAAGGTGGATCACGATGCCAGGAACGAGGCCCTGCAGCAAGCCCTGAAAGAGCAGCAGAGACCGAGCCTGGCCAAGCAAGGGACGGCCCAGACGTCGCAAGGGGCGACGAAGCATAGGACAGACAGGCTGGAAAAACCTCCCCGGATGATGTGGCTGGAGGAGCAAGCCAAGAGGCGAGAGAGAGGAGAGGGAGCCACAGCTGAGGAAGGTAAGGAGGAGAAATGAAACCACTGTGGACATAATTATTGTGACCTTTTTTAATTACATAGGACTCAAACCTTGACAATTCTAATTATCCACACATGTCATACATGGCCAGTGTATTTATCTTACAGTCTAAGCATAGTTGTCAATACTTCATAACTAACCTGCCTCTTCTGTGGTGCCAAACCCCAAATACATTGGTTCGACTTCAGTCTTGACAAATGACTCTAAAATACATATATATATATATATATAACAGTACAACAATATATAACAGTTTTTATATATATATATACATATATACAGTTTAATTGGGAACGCTGCCACCTGCTGGTCTAGCAAGTAACTGCACTGCACATTTTTGGATTCTCTGCTACACTTCAGCTGTGGTTCGAATTGGACAAAAATACACAAACTGACCTAAGTGATCCACAAATATGCTAAACTTGTTTCACATGTTCAAGTGGATCCACGAAAGTGTAATGTAAAGTGTAACTGCTAATTTGCAAATCGCTCCGTTTTTTTATGTATATGACTTTAAACAACACAAATAAAAAAAAATGAAAAAAATGCATGTTTGTGTATTGTGAAACGTTTGTGGACTATGGCGCAAATTTGTGGATTGTCCTCTGAGGGGTTACAAATAAATACAATACATTTCATTCAATACATTACATCTAATTAGGGTAAATAAACTCCCATCACTTTAAGATAAATGTAGAGAAGGTCATGTTGTTCTAGTTTAATTTACACATCTTCATCAGTTTGTGGTGTTAAAATGTTCCCATTAAAATCTTCCAGAAGAGTGGGAGGATGTTGATGATGATGATGATGATGATGATGATGATGAGATGGAGGAGGAGGAGGATGAAGAAGAAGAGGAGACGATGGATCAGGAGGAAGGAGACTCTGCGTCTCCGTCTGACCCCCACCCAGCTGCTCTGCCGGGCTCCATCCCTGTCACCAACTGCCTGTTCTGCCCCCACCACTCAAAGTCGCTCATGAAGAACGTCGCCCACATGACCAAAGTTCACAGCTTCTTCATCCCTGACGTGGAGTTCCTCGTCGACCTCAAGGGCCTCATCCGTTACCTGGGTGAGTTTGGAGTGTGAATGTGAGGTAACTGCAGGTGGCGTTCAGGCAGATAATAGCTGAACAGTGTGAAAGGTCAGGACTTTAAACTGTCAGTGTCTGGATGAGTGATGTTCACTCATCTAAATCTGAACAGTGATCTGCAGTAGTCAAGTGGGAGTTAAGTGTTGAGAAGGAAAATAAAGCAGGGACTAATGAGCGGGGGAAATACTCCCACTTCAGTGTCTTAATGTTGATGATAAGATGGTTTTTCCATTCCTAAATACAGCAGGCTTTAAAGTTTGTGTTCCTTTTTAAGTCAAGCCAAAGCAGCTGCCAGTTATTCTTTGTAATGAAGGTTTCATAGTCATGTCGTTGGTCTCAGCAGGTTTTTGGCTGGACCGCAGCAGCAGGACCAGCCCTATAATCGCGAATGTCACTGACTGACTGACTTAGTGATGATATTTCCTCCACTGTTCAGCTCAGTCTTTGTCATTCATTTATGTGTTTGGTGATTTTATCAGACAACGTCGCAATTATAAAATCAGGATTTGACCATAGGTGGTCCAGACATATACTAGGTTTTGACCTAATCTCGTTATCAGTGTTCTGTGTTTGATTGTCGTAGCTGTTGTACCATGCTACAAGTTCCTGTGCCACAGAAACATAGACACAGAAATGTCATTACTCAAGGACTCCAGTGCAGCATAGAGACAGATATACAAACACCACCATCCATTATTTTCCCCTAGGGGATAAATCCTTCCGTCCGTCCATCTGTCCGTCATAAGAGTGAGCTCTCTTACATCATCAGCAGCAACTAGCGAGGTCCAGTGTTTTCTCCTCCTGAATGTAGAATTCATCGGGGGTAGCTGCTTTTGATGTGAGCACTCAACTTAGAATTCATCTAAAGGCTGAGGATGTTAATATTTCATATATATGAGAAAGCATTATACTGTAAAGAAATCATGCCATTTAGTTTTTATGTCTGTGCGTGAGACAGAATAATGAGAACACTTACAGGCTGATTGAACCAGTCACTCTGTCTCGAGTGAACTTGATCTTTCCAGATGTCAGATTAAGGATTTTCCCAGACGGACTAAACCCTTACCCTGTGTGCAAAAGATGTTTATCGGTGCTTTTGTTGTTGCATATGATCTAATTATTATTATTTTTTTCCTTGTTACAGGAGAAAAAGTCGGCGCCGGGAACGTGTGTCTGTGGTGTAACGAGAAGGGCCGTTCTTTTTACTCGACAGAAGCGGTGCAGAGTCACATGACAGACAAAAGCCACTGTAAACTCTTCACAGACGGAGACACTGCCCTGGAGTTTGCAGACTTCTACGACTTCAGGTAATATAGTTATTTTTAACTAATTAATAATCTGTGATCTGCTGAAACCTGTATAGTGACTAGGGCTGGGACGATTATCCGACGTAATCGACGTTGTCGATTATAAAAATTATTCGACGTGGAATTTTAGTGTCGACGCGTCGTGTAAAACCACACAGGGTAAATGTTCATAGAACAAAACCGGAACTTTCTAATGGGACCGTTTATATCCATCGTCTTTGGTTTACCCGGATACAAGCGCAGCGCAAGGGCTGGGACAACAGGTGACGTAATTGAAGTCATTGACTACGTGAATGATTTGCGTCTGTGTAATCTATTTGAACAACATGGCGGCATCTACCAGCAGTACGACGGAGCGTGTGAAGCAACACGCAGCAAAAAAGGCTCGCACACGTTCCTGCAAATTTGGGAATACTTTAATCTTGACACCAACAGTGCGGTAGTCTGCAGACTCTGCAAAGTGCATCTGGCATATCAATCTAGCACGACAGGCATGTCAAGCTAATAAAAAAAATAATCGTTAGATTAGTCGAATAATCGAAAAAATAATCGTTTGGGACAGCCAATAGTGACACATGGGGACGGATGGATGAAATATGTCTCCTGTCATTCTGGTTCACACACATTTGTTTTTGTTTTTTGCCATCAGGAGCAGCTACCCTGACAGAAAGGAGGGAGAGGATTCTGAAATGAAGGAGGAGGAGCTGCCCGACGACAAAAACCTGGAGTACGACGACGAAACACTGGAGCTGACTCTGCCGTCAGGTGACTTGACTACAAAATCAGTTTTCAGAATGAGCAAAGGTCAATAGTGGATCATTATCCAGAAGTACAGAATGTAAGTCTCTTATGCAGGTCTAAAAAATGTGTGAAAAAATCGTCAGTTTGCGATAATTTGAAAAACTCGAAAAGTGCAATTAGTGATTTTTAAAATAAAATCAATCATCTGCAGGGCTGCACAAAAATACCAATCAGTTTATGGTTGCACCTTCCATAAAGTGAGATTTGTTGCTTTTCTGTATCAAATCATTATAAATTTAATATTTTTGGGATTTTGGACCACTCAGTCATTCAAACACAAACAACGTGAAGACATGAGAAATGGTGTCGGAAAAGTTTGACTATATTCTGACTTTTTATTAACTAAATAATGAATGAATAAATAAAAACTCAATAGATTTGCAGATCATATAATCGGTGATTGTAAATTGCCCTAAATCCAGAAGTATTCTGCAGTTTTGTGGACATGAAATATCTTAGACGAAAAGTCATCCTTTTTAACCAGGAGAAGGGCATTGCTTTGTTCATTTTAAAACCAGGGAGCAAAAGTGTCTTCATCTTTCTATCTTTCTGATGTCAAAACACCTTCAACTTAACATGTCCTACCTACACTATGTTCAGTCTAAGCTCAGCTGCACCAGCTTAGAATAACAGGCATTTTACAAATGAAAAAATGTCTCATTTTACTTGAAGATTAAAAAGCTCTTGTTTTTACTGAAATAAATTTGTTATAATTGGACTAAAACGCCACTTTCTGTTAACTGTGTGTTTGAATCGTTTGTCTGCAGATTTTACACAGTATGTGTGTCTCGTACTCAGGTTACTCTATAAAAAGAGACGATAATCTCAGATCATAAAATAATAACAAATAAACAACGGTGGGCACATTTGAAATGACTTGATCAGGTGCTGAATGACTGAAAAAAACTTTCCAGATGTTTCTTTTGGATCTGCGTGTGTGTGTGTGTGTGTGTGGCTTTATTGCCTGTTTGTGTTCATACTGTAACACCTCTTTGCTGTGTGTTTCTGCAGGTGCTAAGATCGGCCACCGCTCCCTCATGAGGTACTACAAACAGCGATTTGGAACCCAGCGAGCGGTGGCACTCACCCACAACAGGAACGCTGTGGGCAGAGTCCTCCGGCAGTACAGAGCCCTGGGCTGGGGAGGAGATGGAGGTAAGACTTTGGAGTCATTTGTTTTTATATTTAACATAAAGAAATTGAATGAGGTTTTGCCGTCTCCTGAACATTCAAACCCAATTTTTTTCCTCATAGTTTTCTCATTTACTGATCTTAGTCATCATTCACATTTCCCACTCGTGAAGCTCTTTTTTGACTTGGTCTTGGTACGGTGCCATATAAATCAGCCCAGGCTTGTGGTGTGAGTTGAAACAGTATAATCAGAAGTACAGGTTTTATATTATATTTGAATATTTTCTATAAAATATAAATGTTTATATAACCAGCCAAGAGTTACAAAAGTTACATGGGTCAAGTAGTGAAAGTTGTCTATTATAAAAGCATTTAAAAATGATGAGTCTGAACAGGAGATTAAAAATATTTATGAGTTAACTTCAGAATCTAGATGACCTTTATTAACCACATATGTAGTGGAGTTTGTTCATTGTCACATGACTCCCTAAATGTCCAGTTTTTTCCTGGTGGTTAAAATGACACGTAATTATCATCTGTCAGGTTATTTGTGCTCTATATTTAAAAAGGCCAATGGCAGAAGTATTCATTATAACTAAGACAGATCTTTTTGGGGTTGGAGGGGAAGTGGTGGTTTGACACAGGCCTTTCTTTTTTACATCCTCCATCATCATTTAAAAGTAAATGTATTCTCTCTGTATCCTGTTTGAGGTTTTGTTGCTTTTATTAGACGATGCTACTAAAGAATGTAGTAATAATTACTTTGTTCTTGCTACAAATACTACAAGGCAGCTGTCATGTCAAATGTACTTACCTGGGTGTCCCTGCCATAGAGACGTTAAGAAAACCTCCATAACTTTGTTTTACCAGTGGTTCAGCTCCATAGAAAGAAAAGACAGTAGAAATTTTTTCATATGAAACTCAAGCATTTGGTGCAGAGCTGAATTTCCTCACTTCGTCTGATTCTGACCCTGTAGTATTGCCTCACCCCAGTTTTGATTTATTGTGTTTACTTAAGAGTTTGGGGGAATGAAGAATCTCTTATCACTTCTCAGTAGTCGGACTCTTACAGTCGTTGTCAGCTTTTGGCCCAGGGAGCTCAGTTTCTTCACTTATGTTGTCGTTTTCGCTGTGTTTTGATGATGTGAGTGCAAACTTTAATTCTGTTCTGTTTTGTGCAGACGGCGTTTTTTTGGCACTTGGGGTTTATTGATGATGCTATTTCCTTTTATCAGTTCCACCAGCTTCCTCTTTCACCCTTTTTTTTTCGTGTGGCTTAGTAGTTAGAAAGAGGCACTGTCACTACCAGGGCTAAGCGATTTCCTACCCCTGTTTCACATGAGGGCACTCACGGAGAATATGCACATGTCCTGGAAAATCTGGAATTCCTAATTTCATCTTTCAGGTCATGACAAAGTCCTGGAAAATGATAAAATAGACCAAACCAACAAAGATTTTATTTAATGAACAGACTTTGTTTTATTTTTGTCAGATGTTTGAGAGTAGAGCTCTGTTCAGGCACAAATATATACACACATTTTATTTGCACACACCTTGTTTGCTGAGACGGGTGTTGAATGGGCTCCCCATCCTGTTTGCTTTTCATTATTCCCATAAGAACTGCTCCTGAACAACACAGTAACACACCATATGTACATGCACGCTGTCCTTCCCTTCTCTCTGTCTTTTAGGCAACAGCTCCTTCCATCAGAAACAGAGAGACATGCAGTACGTACAGATGATGAAGTCAAAATGGATGCTGAAGATGGGCATGAGCCACAACGCCACCAAGCAGAAGCACTTCAGAGCCCAAGTCATGTTCTAAACTGGGTCTGGAGGGAAACATGTGGTGTGGAGTGGGACATGGACTGGTCACATCTCTGCTGTTTTCCAGCCAACAGGACAGAATCAAGTACAGCTACAAGAGTTGTGGTTTCTTCTTGTACTGTGATATCAAACCTAGCGATCACCTCACATCAGTAATCTCATGTTGTGTTTGAAGTAAATGCAGCCTTGGTGATTAGAGGTTTGATAACTGCAGTAAAGACCCTGACTGGTAGAAATCTTTAGCAACTTTACTTCTAAGAATTCATATATGAATTCTTGCATATGAGCAGTTACAAATTTCCATCTTTCATACATCTCTGTAAACAGTAAATCTGCTTGAAATTGACTTGTGATAGGAATCCAATTGGAAACCGACATTTCATTAACTTAACCGTAAAAATAACCACTTAGGTGGAGATCAAGGGCACAAGTCACATTTACAAGATTATTTTGAAATTATATGGATCATATAAAAACTACACTATATCAATATTAAGGAGGTGGTCTTGCCCTTTGGACTCTTCACACTTTTTATGGACTAATGACAGGATTTCATCTTTACGATTCACCATGCTCTTAATACATCCAACTAAATAAATGTGTTTTATATTTATTGGATTTTTGTTTTCAGTGCTGAAACTCTGCAGCTACAAACAGTGTCCCTTGCAAATCAAGTGTCCCATAAATCGATGGTTTGTCCCGGCTTTCCAGCTGATGAGCAGAATCAAGTTATAATAGGTGTTTTCCAAACTGTGAAACACCAGGAAGAAAATCTAACTGGTGAAAGAAGCTTTTCAAATTGTAGCAAAGAAATAACAAATATGTTTGAGGTTTGGGTTTGGGGTTGAGTTTATTAGCCTATGTAACATTTAGCACATTGTTAGCCATGTGTTACTGTAACTATAGTAACATTAAGCTTATTGGGGACGCCATTAACAATTATTTTTCATTAAACATCAGAAGACAGTGATAAATACTTAGCACTCTATCCTTCAGCACCAGGTGGTGTCATTAAATGTTTTGTTTGAAAAACAGTCCTGAAAATTATTCAATTTATTATTTCAGACAAAGAAAAACGGCAAATTTAAAAAGCTAGAGCCATTAGATTGTTTCTCTTTTCTTCTTGAAAATGAAACAATCATCAAAATAGTTTTCTGTCAGTTGACTAATCGTTGCCGCACTGAAGCATATTTGCATGGAAAAACTGCCATGCTAGCATGCTATATTAGCATTAATTTCAAAGTACAGCTAATGCAGACAAGAATTCTGTCTTTGGTTTTAGAGGTATGCAGTTATGAATTGAAGTTCGGGTACAGAGATCCAGAACAACCAAACTTTAAAATCCCCCTAAATTTAGTGAAAGCACAATTTTTTCCTAATTTTGAATTACAAAGTTTTCAAAACTATATCCCACTGCTTCACAGTGAGAACTCTCACTTTTGATACTTGGGTACATCATCCTCACTATTACATAGGTAAACATTTGGACTTTTCCACTGTTGTATTGCAACCTTTTACTAAAGAACAGGGTTTGATTTCATCTTCATCATGACTAGTTCTTTTCCGATACGTCAGACTTGATCAGCGGCTGTGGTCCTCATGCAGATGATGTCATCGAAAACTGATCGGGCTTTAGCAGGATGCTGACCCACCACACCAGCCCTTTAATGAGCTCAGCTACTCCATTTGTTTGTGGTCCTCCACTCTATCTTTGGCAGGCTCTCCACTTCCTTTTTGAATGCTAGGAGAGTGTTTGCGGCGCGATGGTTTCAGAGGTTTAGGGCGCTCTGCCCGTCCAGTACGCCACTGTTTGACAGAGTCGACAGGAAAAACGGAGAGGGGGAGGGGCTCTGCAGACAGGCCGACGGCGAGAAAGAGACTAATTGATCAGGACGACTGGGGGAGAGAACCAGGGCAAGTGGCTTAGAGGCATTAGCACTGTGGAAGTCATGGGAGGAGGTGATTCTTTTAAATAGCTCGACAGTTTGACCGATACGAGTTTCAGAAGGCTGATACTGAGCATGCTGGACACAAGATGTTCATTTATTTCGTTTGCTCACCCTACATATTTATAGTTTTGCCTTCAAATCTACTACAGCTTCAAGACATTTTTCAAATAAATTCAGTTAATGTTCAGTTAAAGACTAAATCTTCACATGGCTTAAGGTGGTGGAAAGCAGCAGCTCCCTTAAAGCTCCTGTGAAGTTGCAGAAGGGAGGTTTTTAGCTTCAGCTGCTGGAAACTGGTTGGAGTGGAGCCATTTGAGTCATTAGAGAGGGGAGTCAATCAGGACCTGGTCCATGCTTAATTAATGCTTAAGTAATTTACTAAAGCTGTACACATCAGTTATAAGACAAACTGTTGGGTTGCCAGGTTGTGAAATATCTCTTCGGGTGGTGTCAATCCACACCAAGCGACTGTTTGACCCCTGTGTTGATCTCCAGTTTTGGACCAAAAGAAATCTCTGCTAATAATTTTGTAAATCTGATGTAAGAAAATAGTGAAAAATATCTGTAATAATTTCCTGCTTCCCAGGGAAGTGTATTCATTTTGCTTTTATTGGACCAACAGTCCAAACTGTCAATTTACTATCATAAATGACAACGCATCAAATACTCACATTTTGGAAGCTGGAATGAACAGTTTGTCAGAAAAATGGATGGATTTATTGCCTGATTGTTGCAGCTATTTTTTGACGTACTAACATTTATAAGTAGGGACTTGTTATCTTATTAAAAAGTGAAAAACACAACTCATTTTTATCAATGACTTTAGAAACATTGCTTACAGAAGTCAGCAAAGGGATTTTTCACAACCCAAAGGTTCTTGTTAATGACACATAACCAATGTACTGTAGAGCATAATTTAATTGTGTATGTTGTATATAAGAAGAGTAAAACTGAATTCCTGTAATAGAGGTATTTTAAATATGTATTAGGTGGATGGGTGCCATACTATCAGACAGCAGGTAAAATCCAAAAGTAAATTCAGAGACAGTCCCAGCTCAGTCCCACACCCCTCCCAAACAAAACCATGTTTTAGAAGCTGTTCACCCAGCCCTCCCTGCTCTCAGCACGATCCCATTCTCCCTCCAAGCCCTGGGGACCTGGTATTGATCGGTGCCTCGTAGGTAGTGATTGGACATGAGTGGATAATTTCCTTTGCTGCATTAGAGTCCATTACTGGCCCACTCCCCGGAAAGCGATAGACATCGCCCAAAAAAAAAAAAAAAACAGAGAAGATTCTTCTTGGAAAAGCAGTCTCCTCCAACAAATGATTCACCAGCTCCTTGAACTTTATTATCAGGTCCATTTGGAGGTTGATAATGAAATATGGGGAAACAACAAAGCAGGTCATGGCAATAATTTTGACAATTTGAGTCCTTTTTGAAAGCCCAGACCAGTGGACAGTTGTAAGGGTGTCACATTTGTTCAAGAGACTGAGAAAAACATTAGTCCAGTTGGAATTAAAATCTTTTTAATCAGTTGTTTTAATGTTTTAATCAGAGCACAACTATTTGAGGCTTGAACGTCCTTCTCAGTTCACCTCAGGAAGGTTCGGTATACTCTGCAAATCATTACTCATTCATGCAGTCTAGAGATTTTGACTGGCAACTTTCCTATCATAAGATCCTGTCCGTTACATTCCCCTGACTCTTCTTACTCAATGGTATACTTCATGAATATTAAGTGGCAATGCTTTTGGATATTTGGTCTCTACAAATGAAGTGGGACAGGAGCTGTCGATTGCAGAAAAGTGGGGAAATTGTATATGTGAAATATGGCAAATACAGGCACCCAGGGGTACAAAGAACACAAAAAAATGCTTGGATTGGCGACTAATTAAATAATAATTAGCTTGGATGATTATTTGTGTTATCACTGACCCATTTAGGACCCCCCCCCCCTTTCTACTGTCATTTCATGCGTTATTGTAGATTTGGTTGTACCACCAGAAGTGCTTTTTCGAAGGGCTACGGATGTTTGAAAGGTTTATTTTCTTCATGTGAAACATTTAAAATCACAGCACAGATGGAAGTGATGTCCCAGATTTTAAAATGGTCTGCAGACTCAAGCTCAAATTATTTCTCTGTCTCTCCTTACCTATAATGAAAAGTTAATACAACAGCCCTGTTTCCTTTTAAAAACTCTACAGAGGTGGACGCTGCTCCAGTAATGCTCATTAGACTAATGTGCTTTGATTGCAACTGCAACTTGAAGAATGTCTTACCTGGTTGGGCTCTAGGAATAGCAGAATATTCAGCTATTGCTTTCCCTTCTACAGAATCTGTTATTTACAGTGGCAAGAAAAAGGTCTTTGAACCCTTTGGAATTACCTGGTTTTCTGATCATGTGATCTAATCTTCATCGAAGTCACAAGTGTAGACAAACGTAAGCTAATATCACACAAACAATTCTAATTGTGTGTCTTTTATTGAGCACAGCCACAGTGCTGGTGGAAAAAGTAAGTGAACACTTGGATTTAATAACTGGTTAATAACTTTGGCAGCAATAACCTCAAACCAGCTCTTCCAGTAGCTGCAGATCAGACCTGCTCAATGTTCAGGAGGAGTTTTGGACATTCATCCTTATAGAGCTGCTCCAGCTCAGACATATGTCTGGTGTGAGCAGCTCTCTTTCACTCGTTCCATATCATTTCTACTTGATCAAGGTCTGGGCTCTGAAGGGCCAGAAGTCATTCTGTAGTAGATTTACTTCAATGTTTTGGGTAATTTTCCAGCTGCATCACCCAGCTTCTTCTCAGCTTCAGCAGGTGGACAGCCACCCTGACATTATCCTGGAAGAGACCTTGATAAACTTGATGTTGAGCTGTCCAGACCCAGAGGCAGCAAAGCCTCAAATCATGATTCTTCCTCCACCCTGCTTCACCTCTGGGATGATACTTTCATGTTGGTATGCAGTGCCCTTTAACTGTATGTTCTTCCCAAACAATTCAACCTTAGTCACATCAGTCCGTCAAACATTTACCCAGTGGTATTGTCAATATTCAAGCTGTTCTCTGACAAACTTGAGGTACAGTGATGATTATTATTTTTGTTTTTATTTTGTAGTGACTTCCTCTGTAATGGCCTGCAATGGGCTCCATGCTCAATGATTTTGCAGAATGTCATTACGCGGGCAGGTTGAAGTATGGAGGAACCAGGAGGGAAAAGGAGGAGGAGGTACGATATTAGGATTTTTTTTTTTTTTTTTTTTTCAAATCTCAAAACCAAGTAAGTTGTGAACCACTAGAAAATGCTTTTGAGTTTACTTTTCAATGTGTTGTTTGCTAATGAGTCTTGAGGTAATGTTGTGTTACTATTAAAGCTTGCTGGCTCATTAAGACAGCAGATAACAGCAGTGCGGGACATTTGAATTTGAGAGCCTTACTGTATTATATTGCATTATAGTTCGAACTGGCACCAGGTGCCTGAATTGAGTGTTTCTCTTTACAAAAAAAATATTTTCAGCATAAATTGGTGCATAAAAGTTAACCAGAATGCATGAAATGAAGTGTTTGATGCTCAAAATTAGTAAGACTGGGCCATAGTAAAAAATGTTTATCGGTTGCATTGATTTGCATTGGTTGTAACCAGTGTTTATCTCACTGACTGAAATGATGAATTAAATAATATGTAAAAAATAACACATTTGGTTACAGCTTCTCAAATTTGAAGATTTGCTGTGTCACATAGTATCTATTTGTATCACTGTATATAGGGTAATTTGGCTGTTTGACCTTTCATTTGACAAAATAAGCAGATTTGTCATTTTATAGACTAAAAAGTAATTGATTGTAAATTTATTGTGGAACCCCCTAAAGGACAGCTGTGAAACCCCACTTAGAAAACTACTGATTTAAGCCATCAGTGAGAGGTAGACTTCATTGATCCTAATATAGTACAGTTATTTAATTAATCCTCATTTTGTTGTGAATCTGTTTCAGAGACATTCTTTCTGACTTGTTTTGCTCAAAAGCACTTCAGAAAGGCAAATGTTTAATGGCTGTTTTGGCTTTTAAAAGATGGTCTTTGACCAGGGACCATACTGCTGTTATATAACTGCAAACCTCCATTATTAGTAGGTAGTAGGAGGAGATGGAGAAAAATCTAGCTTCTGCGAATGGCACTAAATGCTGTTATAGACATTTAAAAACCGTCTCAGAGATCCATGTGACCACTTCAGGGACACTTAAAACCCCTTGAAAGAAACTTTCCAGTAACGTCAGGCACCCCTGGGACCCCCTTTATTACCCATATAACCTCTGAAGAAACTGTCTTACTCCACCAAAGACCCCATAAGTGGCAAGAAAACTTTAAATGAAACACTGTGACCCCTCCCAGGACCAAGAACTCCCTAAAGAAACCCCGTGACCTAAGCCAGGCGGGTTGACCGGACTGCACTGCTGCTGCTGCTGCTGCTGTGAATGTGATGCAGCTCATGTCTTTCGTCCAGGCGGCTGTGCAGAAGTAGTGCGTGCATGGGTCTGGAAAGTTATCTCCTTCATCATATTAATGGGTTAATAATGTGATTGATTGGTCATCTCCCTGGGGAAATTGTCTTTTCTGCTTCCTGGGAGGGCAAGACTCATCAGAGAACTTGCTGCTGACTTGAAGGATTCTTGCTCAAGAGCCCTTCAGCAGGGCGAATACTCGGCCACATCTGAGGGAGGGGGTTCACCCCGGCTCGTCCCGTTCAGAAGGTTCTTACCCTACCGCTGCTGTGTAGCCGACGGCTTCCTCAGTGGGGACTAAAGAGGCGGAGGCGGAGGGGGAGGAAGGGAAGAGGAAGAGGGGAAAATCCGGCGCTTCAGGACGGCTGAGTCCCGTTGCGATGCATGGAGGCTGCTTGGAAATGCTCCCCGGGTCTCCGGAGCGCATGAGGCGGTTTCAGCCGACCGACGGGCCGCAGCACCGGGGGGATTCGGCTGCTGATCCGCAGCTCTGCCGAGCTGCCTCACTCTAGGTTCGGCTACAGGAGCACGGCTCGGTTCCGTATCCACGGAACGGAGGCATATTCTCCGACAGCACCGTGATCTGGGAGGCTAAAGGCTGCATCACATCCCTGCGTTGCAGTGGTGGTGGATACTCTGTAAGCTTGTCGGGTGGCATCTATGCAATTTTATTTCGACTTTTCATTTTATTATGAGCACAGAGGAGGGAGAGGCGGGTCCAGCTTGTGCAGAGGCGAGGGGAGGCACTGCCATCATCCACCGCCACACCTGGGAGGAAGGCGAACCGCACGGCTCCCAAGGACGTCCGCATCCCGACGATGAGGACGAGACGGAGCAGGGAGAGGAGCAAGAGGAAGGAGAGGGCCGGAGCTGTAGGGATACATGTGGGGGAACCGCAGAGAAATTCAATGGAGAGAACAACGGGGGGAATTTTTCCAGTGAGGATGGGGCGGTCGGGGGCACATCGTGCAAGACGCAGGCGATGCATTCAAACTGCAGCAGCGAAACCTGCATCCCCACTCCCAGCTGCCGGATCTGCTTCCAAGGCGCAGAGCAGGTAAATGTACCAGTGACATGCAGGTGAAACCTTGAACAGGTCTGACATCAGTGTACCCAGGATTTGGTTGATAAATCCACTCTGCCCCTGTTTTTATCAGAGTACAAGTCTTGGTTTTGTGAATATTGACAGTTAAATTGGATGAAAGTGAGGGAACAGCAGTCCTGGACCGTGATTGGCTGACAGCAGCAACACAGCTAATTAAAATGAGGTAAACCTGCTGAGTGGAGGCTTCACAGGTCACATTCTGAAACTGGCCTGATCGGACCGATTTTTTCTTCTATTGAGGAGAGCCAAACTGAACCAGCATCAGTAGAAACGAGAAGTCTTATATTTAACAACTTAAAATCAAAACTTGAATGTGTGGAAAAACACAAAAAAAGTTACATTTCAAAAACACCTGAAATTGCTGCAGTGACTTCAGCACCACGGACAGCTCATAAATCAGCAGTTCCAAAAGTTAGCTTGTGAAACCTTCAGAGGTCCTTGAGTGGCCCTCAGAAAGCCCCAAGCCTAATGAGGAACATAATAATTTTACTGTTGCATAATACTAAATCCTATTATTGCTATCCAGTAAAACTGCTACAATGATAATCAGTTTGCAAAATCATGTCTGCCTTCAAACAGTCGATAAAAAATGTAATCGTTTATCAGCTGGCATTACACTTGTAGGACAGCTAACATGAAGTTCTCATGAACATGAACAATCCTAGAAAAAGCTAAAAGCATCTGAGGCTAATAGTGCAATATCACAAAAGCTGTAACCACAACAAGCCAGAGGGAGTGTGACTTGTAACCACATCACTTCCTCCACTGTGGAAGCTGTGCTGTACCAATTCATGTTATGTTTTTTTTTTTTTTTTTTTTTAATAATTTGTAAAATAGATACATGTCAGCTCTTAAAATAACATTTTTTAAGATTTATTTCTCTGACCTAATGCAGAATTGGATTTCTGACATTGTTTGGCATTAAATGACTCCTCATTTTGCTGATGACCCTGAAGCCATGTTAAGGGTCCCCAAACCTCTGTTTGAGAACCACTGACCTTGGGTTTACAACAATAATTTGTACCACAGTGAAAAATAGTTATCCATAAAAGAGGTGATTAAAATAACTTCAAAATCATGAAAAAATATGTTGCATAACTGCCCACTACCAAAATCTGTTTTCAGCACCATGGACAGGACTAATAATCAACATGTGCATTTCCACCTGTTTCATTAACTAGATTTACATTTCAAAGAATTCAGAGCAATTTATCTTGACACAAGTGACTGGTTTCACAAAGACAGACTGACCATTGTCTTTTAGTCTCTCAAACTGCCTTTAATTTGTTAATTAGTAAATAAAGACTGTTCAGCTCAAATTTTGCAAAAGAGCTTGGACCTTTTTAATCTAATTCAAGATTTCAACTGTCTAGTGACGTAGATATTTTCTGTTTTAGCAAACCACAAATTTAATACCGGCCTCCTCCTTCCTGTTTTTTTGCTTTTCAGTCAATTGTTAACAGGTGTCATGTATCGGTTATTCATGAAACACAGCTATAAATTCAGGGGGAGGTTGCAATAAAATAGATTGGGAGTACATTGGATAACTTTAAAGGTAAATAATGAATCACTATTTTTGTGCAAATATATCATCTTGCCTTTTGCTACCAGCAAAACTAAGACTGAGGGAAACTCTACAGACCTGTCCAACAGGTCTGTGTAGTACAAAGACCCTTAGCAAGGCTTCTTAATTTAGACACACACATAGTAAGGAGGTTCAGGATCAGAGGTCAGTGTAACTCAGGAATGATCATGTTAAAGAGCAGAAAAGTCTGCTGCACTGCTCTGGAAGGGTTCACACTTGAAATGATTTTGTACTGAGAGCAGGTTTTATGCTTTTCACAGCTGATATGAGACCACAGATCAGAGAAGCAGCAGGTTTTCTGCCCCCTGAACGAACATACACATTGATGCTGACATTCTGTTAAGCATCCAAATAACATTACTTAGTAAATTCTGTTCATTCATTTCACTCCTTAGCTGTGCTTTTGTAAATTCAGTGATTGTTTCCAGAGCAGCTCTAACAAGAACAGGTCAGTGAGCCAATCAGAAGAGAGGAGGCGCTGAGCCTCTCATCTGATTGGCTGACTTTTTTCAGAGTGATCAAATAAAAATATAGCAGATTTCAGAGAAACATAATCCTGCAAGGTCGGAAGGTGGATCCAGGTGGGCGGGGCTTGGGGCATGGCTGAGGGTGGTGACTGTTTTGTTGTGACATTACAAAGTTACAGAAGCCCTGATGGCTTGTTTTAATGCTCAGTTTCTGAATATGGGCTGTGTGCATTCTGTCCGTGGATTGCACACACAATATTTATGTACCACCTAGACCTGCTTTATAATTAAAAAAGGCATGGACATCTCACTTTCTACAATATGGGACCTTTAATGGGGCCTTTAGAAATACAGTTTGGTTCCAACCCAAATCAAGATTTAAAAATCTGTATTTTTTCCAATCCTGACACCATTGAACATGAGAAAAGGGACCCAGAAATAGACATAAAATTACCATTTTGATGGTGCATTTTATTTCTATACAGAGTCAAGTCAAGTTATTGTCTTAATAGACAATTAAGGTACAATCAGCTGTACAATCAATACACAATGAACCCAACAGCATCATATCAGAGGAAGATGACAATGGCTGAATCATAATCTATTTATAATAAATATCATCCCAAAGTGATGCATCAGTCTTACTGTCTGCACGTCTTCCTGGAGCTAGATGGACAGACTTGGACAAGCAGGGATAAATGGACACTTGTTTCTGAAACCTGACACTGTGTAGGCCTATTTGGTTCGTGACAGCTACGCTCGATGAGGGACGATTCATCCCTGCTGGAGCTTAAGGGAAAGAGAGGAGTCAGGGCAGTAAATGCCTAAGTGAATATCCTGTCTTCTGAACGTGGGCTATAGCCTATTAGCAGAGCTAATCTAATAGCTCTGCCTCCGGGTCCAGACTGATATTTGATTTTGATACAAGGCTGGAGGCTGGGCAAGCTCACCAGTTATCAGAAAAATTGCAAAGCAGAAATTGACACTTTAAATATTCACGTCTGAGCAGATAGAGTGAGAATAAAATTTTATTTAAGACGACAAAAAGGCCAAATCAGCATCAGTACACTGCTGCTTTGAATTTCTATCAAATATCTTTTCAACGTTGCCCTGTCCTTTTAGAAACCAGTGCTGTTTGATTCACAAAATTGTACTGGAACTTAACAGATCATCATTAACTATGGAAACAGCAGCTGCCAAAACAATCTCAACTCAATGCCCACTTACACACTTCTCTGCAGCTTTAAGTCATATTCACAGCAGGTGGAGTTTGCTCAGATAGAAGTTTTATTTCCACCCTTCAGTTGAAACGCTGTTGGCCGTCTTGTGGATTCTAGAAACCAATGGCCTTTTATAGTACCAAAATATGTGGGACACTTTCATCAAATGTCCCTTTAGAGAATTCAGAAACGTATTAAAATAGTCCTTGATGTTGGTTTTATCAATCACAACTTCAATGGGTAGCTGACCCATGTCAGTTCATTCAAGTGAAAGCCTCCGAGGTCCTTTTAAACCCACAAGGTTAATATGACATGATGAAAAATGAGCTCGCTGACCGCTGACCTTAATATACTATTAATATGCCACTCACAGCCCAGCCAGCAGGTCAAAGCTACAGTAATGGCTGCTCAAGGAATGCCTCAAGGAAGAAAAAAACCATCAGAACAAATATATACGGCTGTAATGATTAATGTCATGCTGCATCCTGCCGTTAATATCCGTGAGCGTTGTAGCTTTGAGAAATGATCATTGATCTGAGCGGTGCTGGCAAAGCCCTCTGGCGAACAAGTCGTGTATTTTCTTTGATGTATGACCTGCTGGGAGAAAAGGCCAAACTGAGGCCTGAAAACAAGGATTTTGAGATGATGGGAAAGTTGACACATAGACCTTGAAAATGGATGTAAGATTAATACCGCGGAGACGGTTCTAACATTGATCCAAACGCAGATGGTTCCTCTTTATTCCTGAAAAGATCCTGCGGTTTAATCTGTCACAGGGAGTGGACAAAAATATAGAGACACCACACAAGATATGAATATCAAGTGCCCAGTTACTTGTAGCCTTTTGCTTCAGAGTAGCTTTGTTTTTTCTTGTGCTGCAGGTTTCCATACTAGATTGTTAAGTATTTGCAGAAGGATAACACAGGGCCATCTTCTTTACAGCTGTTCAATTGACGAAGCAGGCAGAAATCTGCTTCTTGAAGCCAGGATTTCTGATTGTTGAAGCCAGGACATAGTTAGAATTCCTCCTGCTGTTCATGAGAACACTCTTGATTTCCTCAACATTGTGTGCAGCTGTAGTGTCCTAAGGCTGGCTCATTTTTCTTACAAGAGTCACTAGCCTTGCAATTTGTCGGTTCCAGATTTTAAAAGACAATACCAGTGTTTTTGCAACGTTAAACCTTTTTACCACCAGTTACTTTATATGATTTCCAACCATTGCCAGGCTCATTAGATTCCTTTCATTTGCATAAGATATCAATCAATTTGCAGATCGTTGAAGTTTTCTTGAGCTGGGTAATCATCATGACTGCTTTAGTTTTCAGGTTCAAGTTACATTTGTGACGGAGGTATTGTTGGCTAAACAACAAAACACAAAGATTCAGGTTCATTCTAATGATGACGTAACTCAAGTAGTATAGTTACAAGCCTCTGACAATTGTTTTCACACTGAATCACTGCGTTGTTCAGTTTTATATTGGAAACAGATCCTGCCCTTAAAATAGTGTTCTGATCAGTCCAGGGTGCTACCTCTTACCTAATGTAACTTGATTGGGTTTTAGCCCCCACGACTTTGCATGTAAGTGGATATAGATGATGGATGGACACCCTTTTTTGTGTTTTGTAATATTAGAAGTGCTACAGTAAAATGTTGAAGAACCCTTGATAAACTAAAACATTACAAACTACTTTGGCAGATGTTTGAGTAGAGTAAATGGGCTACAACATAAAACTTCTTATACTTTTTCTTTGTGTGTGACTTTGTGTTGGTGATCAGCAGCAGTAACAACAACATCAAGGCTAAAACAAAACAGAATAAAACTGCATTATCATTGGCTGTTCCCACTTGAAAATGTGTTTTAAGCCTCCTCAGGTGTGATGTGTTGGGATGGTTTGGTTGGTCATCCATCCTGCAGGCTACAGGCTGTAGAGTGAGTTTAGGAAGGTATAGATCTCAGCTGCTGGCCAAGGAATCATAAAACTGTATTATGAGGTATTTATTATCTTCATCTGACAATACGACAATAGAATTACCGATGCTTATGTATTTTATTATAATTGTTTTTCCCATTCCAGTGTTTTTTCTCACTTTTGTGACCCAAGTTTTAATTTGCTTTAATCAAATCAATGCCACCTCCATTCATACATACATACCTTTGTTCTCTCTCTGGTCTCCAGGGCGACTTGTTGAACCCATGTCGGTGTGACGGCTCAGTGCGTTACACCCACCAGCACTGCCTGCTGAAGTGGATCAGTGAGAGGGGCTGCTGGACCTGTGAGCTCTGCTGCTATCGCTTCCACGTCATCGCCATCAACATGAAGAGACCATGGCAGGTAAAACACATGGCTGCTTTGACCTAAAAACCATCAGCTGATTTCACAGCCTGGTTCCTCTGTTTAAAACGACCCCGAGTGACCCCGTCGAACTGTTTGGTGGCGATGGCGGTGAGAACCAGCACACTGACCCCATACTTCAAGATACTGTGGAAATGCAACTTTCTTTATCAGGAAAATAGTGCAATGACATCAGTATCTTTATAAGATATTCATCATAAGAAAAGTATTAAAGGTCCCATAATTTATAGTTTTCGTGTGTGTGTGTGCGTGTGCGCGTGTGTGTGTGCGCGTGTGTGTGTAAAGTAGTTTTACATCTCCTCTCTCAGGCTTCTCTCTGGAGCTCTTGTAACAAAAGGTCAGTGAGCCAGTCAGAAGAGAGGAGGCTCTGAGCCTCTCTTCTGATTGGCTGACTGTTTTCTGAGTGATCTAGTAAAAATTTAGCAAATTTCAGGTAAACACTCAGAGAAACCAAATCCTGCAAGGTTGGATGGTGGGTCCAGGTGGGCAGGGCTCGGGATGTGGCTGAGGGCAGTGACTGCTTTGTTGTGACATCACAAAGTTCCAGAAGTCCTGACAGCTGGTTTTAAGGCTCAGTTTCTGAATACAGGCTGTGTGCATTTCTCTGTGGACTGAGGCTTTGATACTTTCACAGTATTAATATAGAACCTAGACCTGATCTATAATCAAACAACACATGGACATCTACCTTTATACTGTATGGGACCTTTGAAATGAAAGACAAGAAGAGTGAGGCTATACATATATATATATATATAAAAAGTAAGAAAATATTAAAACAAAAATATTAAGAAGCTAGATAGTAAGGATGTTAGTAGTATTTTCTTTAACATTAATTGGATTATTTACTGTTTATTGTTTCCTAAAGCCACTACTTAGTGGATTACTCTAACTGGCAAATAACAAATAGTCCTCCAAACTAAATGACGAAACAGGTCTTGTCCTCACCCACCAAAATGTGTTTGTCTCGTTAGGACAGGGTTGTAAATGGAGGTTCTCAATTCTGTCTGAATTTTTTAAAAAAAGAAGAAAAAAAAAAAGAATCTGTTGTTTTTACAGATTATCAGTTGGGAATCTGGCATAACTTCACCTACTTCAAAGATGCACGGAAAGTAGAGGGAGTCTTTTTAAAAATGATGTCTCGAGATCATCAGAGTCATCTTGATGAGGGGCCACTTGAGGACTCTGAGTCCCAGAGGCCTGTTTGATGATTGCTAATCAGATTATCTGGTGGCATCTTGGTGAATAGGATTTGTCTTTTTCTGCACTGTTGTCTGGAAACACTTGAAGATGCTGCGAAAAGACAACAGCCATTTTTGGAGATATTAGAACAGCCCTGCTGAGTAGCAATGCTCATGCTAGAAATACCATCATCATGATGTCTAGTATTTTTCATGTAGGTGAGGGAAATTGACTCCGTGTGCGTGGTCAGATATGTAGTTTAAGTGATGTGACACCAAACTGCAGCCATTATATTTCCCCTGGCTTTTTTTTTTTTACTGCTTTTTACAGCTATAAACCTTTGAGGTTCCAGTGTTTTCCCACCGAGCTTTGCTCTCTAAATCATTCTGGAGGCATTAACAAGAGATTGTTTCTAAAATCTTTGATGTATTGACTCTGGTGAGAAGTGATGCTCAGAAATATTCACAGCTTTTCTCAGCCACACAGAACTGAAGTGGTAAAAGCAGTTTCCGGGCAAACTGACAACAAATAAACCCACCGGCATCTGTCAGAGCCATCCCTGCAAAATGGTTCACTCCAACTCAGCTTCAAAACCCAAATATTGAAGTGCTTCCGTTCTGTAATTGTCGATTTATCTTCTTCTCCTTGGTCCTGTGAATGATAATTGTTTTTTTTGTTTTTTTATGAATGACTCATTGCTTTAAAATGTAGAAGTAAATGGGCAAATCTGCCACAAGTGCCAACTCTGACCTTTATAAATGTGATTCAAATCTTTACACAAGCAGAGCTGTTACCACTAAAGTCTCCAACTGCCATGAGGAAGCAGAATTATAGCTAAAACTGAGTTGGGGAAAAATAATCCTGCGCAATAGTGAAAAGCAAAACAATAAAAAGCCTTAGTCATCCCATAATCTGTACACACAAATAATCTCAAATTAAACAGTTAATAACTTCTGCTTCTAGGGGTCTCTCAATCAAAACAATAAAAAAAGATGGCATTGGGTGACATTGTGAAGTAACATGGGATCATGGGAGTTGTTGTGTTCACCACCATTACCATCAGCGTCTCCTGGTTTGGATTCCTTCAGTGTCAGTGGTTCAGGAGGTTTTTACCAGCAGCTGAATTATCCTCAGAGGTGTTCTCCTCTCCATAGCAAACAGACCAGCTGATTATAACCAGTAGAAACACTGAATAAAACAGTTTCCCATTAAAAATCAGTGATTCACCAACGCTCTTTGGCGGACAGGTCGTCTCCAGCAGCTGGGAGCTGAGCTGTCCAACATTTCCTCAGCTTGTTTCTCTGGTAATTTCAGATCCAGATGCCTGATGACTAAAATCCTTCACCACCAAGGTGTAAAAAGTAAATCTTTGGTTTGAGAATTGATGAAAACATTTGGGATAATGTAAGAACACAACTCAACAACATATAGAACATAGGCCTAGATGTTTTTGGACATTTCAATGTTGAAAAGTTACAGATTAGAACTTTGACAGGCAGGGTTCAATGAAATACCCAGTTAGGACGCACTGTAGGAACATTATTGACTTAGGATTTTTGAATATCTTCCTCTGCTGTTCTGATTTTCTTGTGCATCTTCTATCTTTGTGCGAGTGGAACACAAAATCTTTTCCAAAGGGTTCCGCTCAACTAAACTGAAAAAGCTCCTGTGGATCTAGACTAATGTAGTTAAGTGTTCATTCTGAAGAAGGCAGAGAAATAATGATGGCTCCGTTTGGTAGCTCGAGGCCAGAGAAGCGTCGACTGTGAGCCTGCTGAGTGTTTGTGTTTGCCCCTTCAGGTCTCTGCTGTCAGCTTGGAGCGTCCGGATTCCTTCAGTCCTCCAAAGATGAACAGACAGAGGCTTAAAAATATCTGCGTTCTGGATTGTCGTTTCTTTCACAGCAGAACATTCGGGGCCTTTTCAGATCTGTTTGTTCCAGATGGGACTTGAGTCATTGGCAGACTGAACAAACACACAGCTGAGGCTCAGCAGAGCTCTACTTTCTGTCCACACAGTCTGCCTCAAGTCTTTTTCTCTGAAACGAGCCATCAACAATTTCCTGTTTCCAAGTTATTTTATCAAGTTTATTCTCCACTTTCTGTTTTCTTCTTCTCTTCTCTCTTTTTTCCTATTTTCTCTTATTGTTTTGTCCCTGACACACACATTCCCTCCTCCCACAGTTTTTCCCTCCTCTTTTACATTCTTCGTGGCCTCTTTCCACTTCTTCTTGGCCACCTCTGTCTCCTGTTTGGAGATTTTGTCGAGCCTATAGCAGGTTTTCTGTCCCATTGTGGTTGATATGGTTATCCAGCCAGGTGAGGGTCCTGCCAGTGAGACTGGTGTCTGCCTATAGGACAGTAGGTAGGAGAGGCTTTTACCTGCGAGGCAGGGTTGTTCAGCAGTAGTACATACGTATGTTCATTTTTCTGACACCTTTAACCTGCAATAGCTGTAGCTAATAGCTTTTTTTGACAACTTGAAAGCAGTGGAAACTAGCTGTAAATGCTAAAAAAAAAAGCTAGCTGCAAACTGATTTTATCTGCTTATATCTGCTGTTCAGTGTGCATTTGATTTATAGACCATCTTCAGCTGCCTGCTGCTGCTGCGGAAAACATGTGAACCTAAACTGTAAAGTTGTGGGCAGTAAAACAAAAACAATGAGCTGAAAGACCCCAGAAAGCCCTTTACAGCTGAGGTGAACTGAGTCTGGTAATGATTGTCTGTGGGTTAATCACTATGTGTGACCCCTGTCGCACTACACAATGCTGCTTAAATGAAGCTTTATCACACAGTCTCAGGTGCTCTCTCTCCACATAAACATACAGCATGACTAGCCGGTATTTTGAGGGAACATTCTGAAACATATTCATTACAGCTACATTAGCAAAGGCTTTTCTATTGTATGCACATGTTTGGCCCCCACCTACTGCCAGCTGTTAAGCTCAGGGGTGGAAAAATGTATATATTTTTGGTAATGAAAAATGCTCTTTCTGTATTTTTACATTATGTATATTATGTATTTCTAAGTTTATATATTTATTTATTACTGTGTTGATGCAGTCATTCAATTTAGTTATTTCTACATTTATTTCATGCATTTGTATTGTTAATATTTGTTTATGAAATGATTTATGTATTTCCATGTATTTATTTATTTATTTATTACCTTTTTGCTGCATCTATTAAATTATATTTATATTTATTTAATGCTACATTTATTTATTTATGCAATTTTATTATTTCTGTATTTCTAAATTTATGTATTTATACTTATGTTATTTTTTGTCCTTCATAGTGGTATATCCTATCACAGTGTAGCACATGAGTTCATGATGCCACGCACTTTGACACCACTGGTGTTTGGGTTTAGTTAGAAAAAATAAGGTGGTGTATGTTAATCTCCTCTGTGGAGGAGCTCACCCTGAATACTTGGGTATATGTGACATAAAGACTAAAAGTCAATGTTAGTTAAGCTTTGGGAAGAGATAGTTGCCTAAACCTAAACCTAGCTAAACCATAACAGTGGCAGATCGGAAAATGCTCACCTGAGCTGGTTTAGTCACAGGGGTTGATTTAAAAGGCATGAATAATGGACCTATATATATATATATATATATATATATATATATATATGTATGTGTGTGTGTATATATATGTATATATACAGTGAAGGAAATAATTATTTGATCCCCTGCTTATTTTGTAAGTTTACCCCCTTACAAAGACATGAAAAGTCCATAATTTTTATGGTAGGTTTATTTTAACAGAGAGAGACAGAATATCAACAAAAAATCCAGAAAAAAACATTAAATAAAGGTTATAAATTAATTTGTATTTGATTGAATGAAATAAGTATTTGATCCTCAAGCAAAACGTGACCAGTACTTGGTGGAGAAACCCTTGTTGGCAAGCACAGAGGTCAGATGTTTCTTGTAGTTGGTCACCAGGTTTGTGCACATCTCAGGAGGGATTTTGGTCCACTCCTCTTTACAGATTCTCTCCAAATCCTGAAGGTTTCGAGGCTGTCGCTTAGCAACTCGAAGTTTCAGCTCCTTCCACAGATTTTCTATGGGATTAAGGTCCGGAGACTGGCTAGGCCACTCCAGGATCTTAATGTGCTTCTTCTTGAGCCACTCCTTTGTTGCTTTGGCCGTATGTTTTGGGTCATTGTCATGCTGGAAGACCCATCCACGACCCATCTTCAGTGTTCTGGCTGAGGCCAGGAGGTTCTCATCCAAGATTCCACGGTACATGGCCCCATTCACCGGCCCTTCAATGCAGTGAAGTCTTCCTGTACCCTTAGCAGAGAAACAGCCCCAAAGCAGAATGTTTCCACCTCCATGATTGACAGTGGGGATGGTATTCTTGGGGTCATATTCAGCATTTTTCTGCCTCCAAACATGGCGAGTCGAGTTGATGCCAAAGAGTTCACATTTGGTCTCATCTGACCACATTACATTCTCCCAAGCCTTCTCTGAATCATTCAGGTGTTCATTAGCAATCTTCAGACGAGCCTGTACATGTGCCTTCTTGAGCGGGGGGCCCTTGGGGGCACTGCAGGATCTCAATCCATTACGGCGAAGTGTGCTACCAATGGTTTTCTTGGTGACTGTGGTCCCAGCTCCCTTGAGATCATTAACAAGCTCCTCCCGTGTAATTCTGGGCTGATCCCTCACCTTTCTCAGAATCATCCTTACCCCACGAGGTGAGATCTTGCATGGATTTCCAGAGCGAGGGTGATTGACTTTTATCTTGTATTTCTTCCATTTTTGAATTATCGCGCCAACAGTGGTCTCTTTCTCATCAAGATTCTCGCTGATGCTCTTGTAGCCCATTCCAGCCTTGTGGAGGTCTACAATCTTGTCCCTGACGTCCTTTGACAGCTCTTTGGTCTTGCCCATGGTGGTGGAGAGGTTTGAATGGAAGAGATTGATTCTGTGACAGGTGTCTTTTATACACATAAATTGAGATTAGGAGTACTTTCCTAAAGGGACAGGACTAATTTGACTGCCTCATGGGCACATAACCGGTCTGTGGGGGTCAGAATACTTGCTGGTTGGTAGGGGATCAAATACTTATTTCACTCAATCAAATGCAAATTAATTTATAACCTTTATTTAATGTTTTTTTTTCTGGATTTTTTGTTGATATTCTGTCTCTCTCTGTTACAATAAACCCTACCATAAAAATTATGGACTGTTCATGTCTTTGTAAGGGGGTAAACTTACAAAATCAGCAGGGGATCAAATAATTATTTCCTCCACTGTATACACACACATATACACATACTGTATATAATGTCTTCAGTTCAGACCATTTCATGTATTGTCTCTCCTCTCTGTCTGTAGTGGCAGTCCATCACCATCACCCTGGTGGAGAAGGTGCAGATCATTGCTGTGTTCCTGGGCTCATTGTTTTTGGTGGCCAGCATCTCCTGGCTGCTGTGGTCGGCTCTCAGCCCGCAGGCCGTCTGGCAGCGCCGCGACATCCTCTTTCAGATCTGCTACGGCATGTACGGCTTCATGGACCTGGTCTGCGTAGGTGAGGAATGAGGGAATGATCGATGCAGCTGTCACCAGCAGAAAGCAAGATACACCACACATCTGTCCTCTGAGGTCAATTATATGTACATGAAGGATTTATTTATGAGTGAGTTATGTTGTGAGCTACCACTTGTGCCCTGTTTTTTTAGCCTTTAGTCATATTTTGGCAAAATAGCGACATTAAACTATATGTACAGAGTATGCCGAATTAACTATTAGCAGGTCCTGTTTGCAGTGTACTCATGCATGTACAGACAACTATCATTACTTTGATGCTGAAGAAAACTTAAAAACACGACGATCCTCAGGCAGTTTCTGGAGGTTTATGAGACATTTTTCTTTCTTTTTTTTGTAGTTTCTCAGCAGATTTGATAAAGATAATGACATCCTCAGAAAATGAAGGTCGCACTGAATCTTGTGTGTGTGTGTTCAGATTTGACTGTGCTGATTGTTAAACCAGAAAAAATAATTTCACAGGCAAGTTACCAAACACTAGAAACCGGGTTTCAACAAAGGTTTCACAAATCTTGAAAGGTTTAAAAGGGTTGTTTGGCTCTTAATACACTATGACCAGGGGACCAGCCGTTGTTGGGGTCTCACCTTAAGCTGCGAATCAGGAGGCAAGTTGAGCCTGGAAAGTCAGTTTAGAGTCTGGGCAAGGGCTCTGCATAAATTCTCTTTTGTCTGGGAAACATAAACTGAGGTGATAGAAGATGAGGATGTTGAAGGTAACCAAAACAGCTGGACCACGTACAGTCAATGTGTAAAATTGAGGACGTAGTTGAATACTATTGTGGAACCACTGGAAACAACTACTTTCAGTGGAAATTAGCTAAAGCCTGCTGGGTAACTCTGTCCCACCCACTGATCACCATCAGTCAAGAGAGCACATCAGAGGGGCTTTATGCGTTGACGAGCACTGGCATTTAATGTGGGTTATTTACAAGATGCCGACGTTGAACTTCTTTAGGTTTTCATTTCAGTTTTTATTGTTCTTTATCATTTATATTTTGAAAATTACAAGGTTTTTATGTCTTAATATTTATATTTTGAAATTCCTATTATCGTGAACATTTGGAATTTTAAAAATGTTTAGATTTTGTAAATTTTTCATTGGTGCCAGATTAATTATTACATAATGGTGATGAATGCTGATTGGAGGGGCACCCTGGCAATTTTTTTCCTTGGGACCCAATGGACTCTAGAATCAGCACTGTGCTTCATATCTGCATTCAGCCCAGTGTCAGCTGGTTTCAGCCCTTTATCTGTTTGCTTCTCTCCTCCTCTCTGTGCTCACATATACAATATTTTCATGCAGCTGAGTTCACATTAAAGCTGTTCTCAGTGACATGTTTTTCTGTTTCTGTTGTCAGACAACGGAACAAGTTTGAAACAGTGACTTAAACGCAGCCCATTAAGACTCCGTGTTAACCAGCAGTCGCTTCCAAGCTGCTGCTAAAATCCTGATTTTATAACCACAACATCATCTGACAACATCACCAAACACATCGGTTAAAGACAGAGACTGAGCTGTGATTTCAGATATATTTACTTCTAAAATGATCGGTCGGAGAGAAAGTTAGAAGCGACAGAATATCTTTCTTACTTTGTCTCTCACAGCACACAGCCTCTGTCAGGGTAAGAAACTGCTGCTTCGCCTCTCTGCCCCTCATTAAACAGAGTAGACACAGAGAGAGGGCAGAACTAGTGACTGATGAAAAGTAACTAAGGTTTGTCCAAAAAGTTGCTAAATCTGTTGCTAGGTGCTTTTTTGAAAAAAAAAAAGTTGCTAGAGTGATCTGAAAATGAAAACTGATGTGGATCTGCAGTAAATGTCTCCTGATGACATATAGAAAATGTTCACGCCAAATCATCTTGAAAGAGCAACGACCAATGGGAAGTCCAACACTTAGCTAGCCAATGGTGTCATTTCATCACAAGCTCAACTCACTCACTCACTCACTCACTCACTCATTCACTCCATTTTTGTCGTTGTAACAGGCTTGATTGTCCATGAGGGGGCAGCAGTGTACAATGTCTTCATGCGGTGGCGGGCCGTAAACCTCCACTGGGACGTTCAGAGCTATGACAAGGCCAAGGACATGGAGGAGACGAGCACCGGTCACTCCTCGTTGGCCCCCAGGACGCTTTGGTTGCCCCTGGTCACCTTTGGGCCCAGTGGCCCCTTACAGTCCACCCACCTGGGACCGCAGCCATGGACTTGCCTCTGTTTGGCCCCCTTCTGTCCCAGGCTAGTGGCCCGAAACAACCTCAGTCAGGACAGTGAGTCAGGAGAGGTCGTTATTCGTGTAACATCGGTCTAACACCAGGTGGTATTTATGCAGGAATAAAACATCTGATGGTTTGTGTTTGGTGGTAACAACCTGAGTTTTGCTGGGATTACACACAATCTGTTGTTTCTTTTCTTTCTTTTTTTTTTTTGTTGCAGATTTTCCTTTTTCTACATGATTTCTGCTCTGAGGCAGGTCCTCAAAACATTCTCAACAGTTAAATTAACTCACATGTGGTGTTGTTGCCCTTATGTTTGATTGCTGAACAGACAGACATCAACCACACTCCTTTTTCCAGAATATTGTGCAGCATTCATGTCATGTGGGATAGAAGGTAGTGATGGGAAACATGGTCAGATTTACAAGAATTGTAAATTCTGGTAACACTTTGCCACAGTGCCATAATTTCCTGCAGTTTCATTGAAAGGAACTGATATGTCAGATTTACAAGAATTGTAAATCTGATAATCACATTTCATGACAGTTTGGGATCACAGAGTTGGCTGTGTGAGAGTTAATAAACACTGTGCATGGCCAATATAGCACTACATCCCTTAAATTTGGTTTTAACAACCTTGAAAGATGAACTTTCGGCATCTGCACTTGTTTGCTTTTTTAGGCGCTTCTGCATTATTTTGCGACAGGTCGAATTTGTGGGAAATCATGACTGGAATGTCGACATGAACGAATCGGCGGTTACAGAAGTTACCACATGACATGAACGCAGCATTAAGGCTGATGTGTACTGAGACAAATATCTTTAAAAAATCTTTGGATATTCTGGTAACACTTTGCCACAGTGCCACAATTTCCTGCAGTTTCATTGAAAGGAACTGATATGTAACTGCACACTTCAAATCTCCAATAATTCATTAATAATGAATGAAACTTTACCTAGGTTTCCTTCCTTGAAATGGATCAGTTACGAAGAGATTTTTCTTGAAATGAACAGCCTATGTATAAATTCAACACTATCAGATACCTGCCTCAGAACTTAGTTTCTATTTTCCTTGTATTTGTTACCAAATAATTAGCAGCACTGAAGCAGCAAGACTAAATGTCGCATCCAAATGAAGATGTAATGCTCATCACACATCAGCACACACTTCCTGGGTAACTGTAAAAGGGAGAAAACTTCTATTCTTGGACACTTGCCACCAGTGGTGCAAAAAAACTTTTATCTGTCTAACCAAGACTTAAAAGGTGTGTTGAGACAGCATAAAGATAAGCTCCAAGCATTGTAAATTCAATTGAAAACTTTTCCATGTTAGTTTAAAGCTTGATATTTTTTCTCTTCTCCTGTGTTTTTTTTTGAAGTGTTGATCCATGAGAAGATATATTTTGGTTTTAAGAACCAAAAACCATCTCAATGTAGTTTTACATCTCCTCTCGCAGGCTTCTCTCTGAAGCTCTGAGCCTCTCTTCTGATTGGCTGACTGTTTTCTGAGTGATATAATAAAAATATAGCAGATTTCAGGTAAACACTCAGAGAAACTAAATACTGCAAGGTTGGATGGTGGGCCCAGGTGGGTGGGACTTGGGGCATGGCTGAGTGTGGTGTCTGCTTTGTTGTGACATCACAAAGTTCCAGAAGTCCTGACGGCTGGTTTTAAGGCTCAGTTTCTGAATACAGGCTGTGTGCATTTCTCTGTGGCCGGAGCGCTTTGATACTTTCACAGTATTAATATAGAAACTAGAACTGCTTTATAATCAAACAACACATGGACATCTACCTTTATACTATATGGACCTTTAAAAAATTTCTACTTAGAGTGACAATCTGAGCTTGTCCCAAAGCTGCAGGAGTCTGCCCTGAGTGAAATGGAGGGAAAATAAGTGAAACAATTGGAGCTTCTGCTAATTTCTGAAATGTCACACACAGACACTCAATCATTTGGAAAAACAATTGACCAATCAGAGCTTTGTAGGCAGGATACAAGATTATAAAATAATACAACAAAAATAATACAAGTTACATTCAGCAGGTTATCGTCAGTAGACTTATAGAGATAACTCTTAAATTTCTTTGGTTTATACAAACAAGTTACTGTAAACTGTTCCTAGCAGCTGCTACCACAGTTTTTGTGCACAGGGAAAATGACATGGGTGTATGCTGATTGGTTACAGTAAACCACAACAAAGAGACCCAGCATACTGTCTTTGTCCCAAGGCTGGATTTAGTTATTAGTGTAGCTACAAATGAGATTCTGAATGATGGTTTCCTTGCTTGAAGAACAGAACCAGGAAGGTGCTGTTTCATTTATGCTCCCTATATCTTGGAGTTTCAAACTGGATATTTTTCAAAACTGCTGAACCACATATAGAGAGAGAGAGTGTTATGTCTTTATCGCTGTGTTTCTGTTGGGTCAATTCTGCTTTGTTTTGTACAAAGGATTCTTAGCGTTTAGAGGAACTGTGGCACAAAACACATAAAATGAATAAATGATAAACCTTCATACTTCATGCTATTTTACTTTCACAGAACACGTATCTCCCAGGAAGCAACTGAGGAATGAGGATACATGATTCAGCAGTTTAGACAGATTGCAAATGAGCACAAAAAAAATGATGTCAGAAAGCTTTAGAGATTTTCCATACAAAGATGCAGGCAGCAAGTATAGGACATTTTTGAATGTCAGTTAAACTTTGTATCTTAGTGTCTGTATATGCTGTCATATCAACATCTGTTCAAAGGGTTTGCTGGCTGCCTAGAAGGAATGATCCTCAGATGATTTGTGCCGGTATGAATACAACTGTTGAAAATTGTGGTTTTGATCTGTCTGTATGCCATTCTGTTGAGCTTCCAGGAGCCCTGTGGTGTTTGGGTTGTGGACGGGCTTCAGGGTGGTGGTTGGGTTTCGGGCTCTGTTCTCAACTTAGGTCATTTGGGGTCGTTTGATTTTTTTGGTGCCTTAGGAGGCTGGTGACGACGTTGCAATGTGCAGCACAAAAATAACTTGAATGTGACTTTTGCTGTTGGCTGTATTTCTATTTCTTTTGAATGTAACATGGATGTAATGTATAAAGAATATTTATATATGCAGAGACTAGTGTGGGTTATTTGCCTGATGTCAGTTTGACTTTAAAAGGTTCTGTAAATGATCATCACTACTACTAGATGTCAGACTAGATCACCAGCATCTCAGACCAAGGCAAATGCTTCGTTGGCCACACCTCCAGCCTCCATTCGGCGACGACCTCCCCTCACTTCCATTCAAATTCTCAGTCAGTTGGGTGTTATGGAGCACAATGAAGATGACCATTTAACACACAAAAAGAAGCACAACTGAATAGAGTTACCATGAACACATGAGACAACAAAAAAAACAAGCTAACCACAACCATTAGCCCACATTAGCATTGCCATGATATGCTCCATGGCAATGCTGACTTTTAGCCAGCTAGCAATGGGAACATTTGCCAAACAAATTCATTATATGGGTAACAGCAAGCTACCTAATGTTATCATGTCTACTGTAGTCAGTCACTAATGTCTATAGTCATCAAGTTACTTTCGCATTGAGGAAAGGAAAAGCCAGTTCTGAGTCAAGCTGGACCCTTTAGCAGCTCATAGGGCTCTCCATCTCGGTAAAGCAGACCAGTATTGGCTTCACGGTCGCACTGGGAGGGAGATTCAGCCTTGGACTTATCCGTTGGGACAGATCGCATGAATGACACTGATGGAGCTGATAAAGACACTGAGGAGGTAAAAACTTTAAAAAATGTTTTGATGTTTTGACAGTCCACCAGCCAATCGGGATTTGGACCAGTTGCTTTGTGTGCTGCTATATTACTGTATATTATTATATTATATTATATTATTATTATAAAATCTTGTTTACAGAACCTTTAAGTGCATTTGGCTTTAAGGCTGTGCTGCCAGGAAGCTACCTGCTGTGTGATGGCGGCAAGTGGCACCTTTCTGAAAGCTGAACGTCACTACCTGGGTTTGTCTAGGGTGATGGCAGTAGTCTCTTTACATTGAGACTGAAGAGAGGAAAGAGGAAGAAGACCTGATGTCGGTGAGTCCAATTTTATGCAATATGCAGTTAATCGATTTTGTGGCTACTGTTTAAGTTAAAATGTTGTTTCACTCCAGAGTTGGAGAGGATATATTAATCAAGTACACTGTCATTTTGATGCTACAACATGTTTATTGAGCTTGCCTACGCAGGAGGGTGGTCTGCATTGGACCACCCTCCTGTGTCTGCGAGCTGGGGACCTGCGAGGTCTCCTGTGTCATCAGTGACATCACAAGATGAAAGGAGTCACAAAAAATGATGTTATACAAATTGTAATGTGACATCAAAAATTAAAATCATCAAAATGATGATGTCTATAAACTGTGACATCATCAATGACATCATAAAATGAAGATGAAATTCATTCAGTGACTCACAGAATGTTGCTTTGTGTTTGTCTATGGAATCCACTTCTCCCATCAAGCTGCTGACAGGAATGAGCACTGTACTATAGTCAAACTAGTTTCTATTGAAGCTTTGGGGTGTTTCCACTGCACTGGTTTCTATCAGTAGAGAGAAGTCAGAGAGGAGAAGAGTTGGAGAGGAGTTAGAGAGGAGTTAATGGGTTGTCGAGAGGATGTATTAATGACATAAGCTGTCATTTCAATGCTACAACATGTTTATTGAGCTTGCTTAGCGTCTGCGTCGGACCACCCTCCTGCGTCTGCGAGCTGGGGACCTGCGAGGTCTCCTGCGTCTGCGAATGGGGCGAGAGGCCTGTCTGCGTCTGCGTGGCATTGTCAAAAAACAATACCCTTTGATGTCATGGGTCCTATTTACAAACTCTGTCTGACAAGGTTGTGACATCACTGATCACAATTCTCATGGGAGAGTCGATGACATCATCAGAGGAAGTAAATTGTGACTTTGATATCATCAGTATCTAAAGGTCCTGATGCCTTTGATGTTTAATCTTACACCTAAGCTGTGTTCCAAGTCAGGGGCCACATCCTTCAGAGGACACGATCTACGATAGTGTGGCCCTTAGTAGCTGATGTAGACTGCGAAGGC